CATCCACTTGGTAACCTTTCATATGACACTTTTCCTTTTCTCATCATCTGCCCAGACATTTCGGGAGGGACCCAGGGCCGGAGGATGCCCAAATCTTGCCATGGCAACTGGAGAAGGAGTCATAATAGAGAAACACTTGTGTGAGACAAGATGATAGTGACCAGTCTATTGGAAAGCTCCTGGTTGTTGTTCAGTCCTTAGAAGGCCCAGGGGAAAAGCCCAGGGTGTGAGTTTGGGGGTTGCGTGGGATGGTGCTATTCTGCCCTAGCCACAACCAATGCAGTGAATTGTCCACACTGAGGCTCTCAGAATGACTTGAGTGTAACAATGCAATGATAAAAGCAAAGCCCGGCACATATTATGCACTAAATTAATAGTGATCATTATTATATTATCCTTACTCAAAAAATGAAGCCATGTAGGCTCAAAAGGATTAAATAAGTAAAGACTTCAAGGTCCCCCTCAATTGTAGCTGAGACCTAACCCCAAAGCTCAGGGCCTCTCCAGGGTATCGTTTTGAATCTTGTCAATACCATGGTCTGGGCGAGACTCCATGGGACACTCAGGGTCCCCTGTCTCCTATTTGTTAACTCCTTGTCAGGCTTCTTTTCCAGGAGTAGTTGACAATAGAATCTCGAGGATGTGACGGTTCTTTGGGCTGTCTGCAGTGGTATCCAAGCTAAGTCCTGGGATGTGGAGCAGAAACCTCAAGGAGCCCTCAGCTGCCTTTACTCCTACAACATATGGAAGCTAATAAACCAAGAAATTAGTTTGTCTTCAAGGTTTTTTGCTCCAATGTCTCCTTTAGCCCATCAGCATCTCTTTGCTTTTAACATTCCTTGCTTTAAAAGGGAAAAAAGTCAGAAGGGAAGTCTGAGGCACTCAGCCTTCTGACCGCCTTTTCTCTGCGTGGTCTCAGTGTTTTCATCAATGGCTGACGCATGTCTGTAATAACCAGATCTGAAAGTGGTGAAGAGAGAGAGGTCATGAACCCTCCAGTAAAAGGGCATGCGATGGGGGACCGGGTGAATGCACGAGACCTCCACCTTTTCTGTCACTGGATTAGTCAGGAGAGGCTAGGCTTTGCTGCAACAATGAATTGATACCCAAATCCTAGTAGCTGAATACCACAGAGGTCTATTTGTTGTTATGTCACCCAGAACAGATATGGCCCCAAAGGACCATATCTGGAGAAGTATGGAGGTGGTAAAATGGATCTTAAATACCTCACTTCGGAATGATGCATATCACGACCACTTATGTGGCCTTGATGAAACGTGGATTCTCTTGTATGCCTAAGAAGGAGAGATGGGTCACTCACCAGTAAACACTAGTGACCTCTAGCACAATGTATATGAGTCCCTCTCCTATTTCCATTTCCCTTTGCATCCTGGGAGACCCCTGATCCATCCCTATCTGCTGCTCTTCCACCCACTAGGGAAACCTCTCCCTATCCCATTACCTGTCTGGCTGCACCTCTGTTCCTCTCCCTCATGGCTGGGCATTCTCACTGAGCAGAGTCGTAGCCTTAGGTGGGAGGGTAGGGAGGCTCCTTGGGGCCTGCCAACTGAACTCAGGCTTTGACTGTTTTCCATTTAATCCTTTATTTTTTTAACTTTTATTTATTGATTTGAGAGAGAGGAAGAGAAAGAGGAAAGGAGAGAGAAAGAGAGAGAAACATCAATTTGTTGTTCCACTTATTTATGCATTCATTGATTCTCGCATGTGTCCTGACTGGGGATCAAACTCCCAACCTTGGTGTACCATCAAGACGATGCTCTAACCAATGAGCTACCTGGTCAGGGCTCACTTAATCCTTTAAAGAACTTCAGGAGATACTTAGCATCCCAGTTTTATAGGTAGAGAAATCGAAACTTAAATGTACATAATTTTCCAAGTGACATAGTAAGCAAAAAACACTAAACCAGAATTTCATTTCTTCATTTAGTTTTCAATAAACATGTATTGGGTGCAACTTAGTACTGATTTGTGGTCCCTCACCCCCTAAAGGTTAAGAACTTCATCACTGGAGTTGGACAGTCTTTGATTCTAGGCTGGGAAAGGTACTTAACTGCTCTGTGTCTCACTGTCTCCAAGTATAAAACAATGATAATTAGCACCACTTATATCACGGGCTAATGCATATAAAATGCTTAGCCCAAGGCTGACTGACTTATAGTAAACACCCAACAGGTAGTAGCTAATGGGAGCGCAATGAACAGACAGATTGCAGCAGTGCAGTCTGCTACGGGCTACAATGAAAGTAGGTAAATTCAGGATGCCGTGTGAGCCCAGAGAAAGGAAACACAAATCAATGTAAGGTGTGCATGCTCAGGTAAGGTGTGCAAAACTCCAGACAAGTTTGCACAGGAGAGTATCACTTACACTGGACAAGGTTGGAGGGCCAGGCAGTCTTCTGAGCTGAGGAGATAGCATGGGCTAGAGGCAAGAGATCATGCCACTGAACTTGAACGGGACAAGGCAAAGGAACAATGGCTAGAACGCCACAGTGACCGGTGGAGGCTAGACCTGATGAGAGGCGCGGCTGGGGTGGCAAGCCAGACCAGGTCAGCAAGCACTCTGTGTAGCCGCTTTGCGTGTATGTGAACATACTGTCCTGAGACAGTGGGCGTCCTTGGAGGTACTTAGGCAGACTGCCTTTGTCGACAAGGCCACGCTCTTTACAGCTTAGAAAATGGACCAGAGGCGGAGCTGCAAGGCAAGGACAAGGCCGGAACATGGGAGAACAGAGAGGATGCTGCTGAAACGGGCCAGGTGGGGACATGTGAGTCATCTCTCCTCTCAAGCCTTCTGTTTCTTTTTCTGGCATGCAAGCCTAACAGTTCTCGTCTTGCCTGCCTCAGAAGTTGGGGGGAAAATTAATAAACACAGCCGCTTAGAACAGGGCTTGCAAACTTCTCTGTAAAGGGCCAGGTAGTAGTGAATACTTTTCAGCTTTGCAGGCCACGCGGTCCCTGAACGCTTCACCGTGGTCGCTGCAGCACAAAAGCCACTGTAGATAATACCCATAAAATAAGTATGGCCGTGTGCCAACAGCATTCATTTAGAGGCGTTGAACTTTGAATTGCATGTAAATTTTATCTGTCAAAAATGTTTCTCTTCTTTTTACTTTTTTCCAACCACTTAAACACACAAAAACCATTCTTAGTGCACGGCCGCACAGGAAACAGTGGTTGTGGGGGCTGGGTGGGGTGGGTGGACCTGGCTCAGGGGCCAGCGTGTGCTGACCTCTCCAAGTGGCAACATTCCCCACCTCTAGGGGAGCCATTTTAGGATTACTGCTGACCAAACTGTGTTGTCAGTGACGTTTTATAGATTTCATGGCTGTTAGTCAAGCTTGCCCTTTGTGTGAATTTCTGCAATTGTGTATTTCCTGTTTATCAGTTGGTCTGGAATGCCCTGCCTCTCCCTCCGTTTTACATAAAAACTTTCTGCTGTGTTGTTGATGAATCATTAGAGACACAAGCAGCCTTCGGCCAGCACAGGACGCCCAGGAGCCTTTTGTACCATTTTCTTTGGAGAGGCAAGTGGTGGGTTTGAAAGGGCAGGAACATTAGTCAGGCAAACCAGGGCTTAAGTCCTGCCTCTGCCAGTTATTACTTCTGTGACCCTGAGTGGGTCATTTCATCAGTTCTCCAACTCATCATTTCTTTATTTGTCCATTCATTTATTCAAGAAATATTCAATGAGTACCTACTAGGTACCCGGTACAGTGCAAGGCCACAGAAGTTCACTAGTTAATGAGGGACTGTGGCTGCCTTCAAGGAGATTATGGAAATAAGGGGAAGGCAGCCACTTATAATACGGTGAGAAGATGAGGGTGTTGCCCTGGCTAGTGTGGCTCAGTGGATTGAGTGCTGGCCTGCTGACCAAAGGGTCACCAGTTCGATTCCCAGTCCAGGCAACATGCCTGGCTTGTGAGCCAGGTCCCCAGCTGGGGGCATGTAAGAAGCAATCACACATTGCTGTTTCTCTCCCTCTCTTTCTCCTTCCCTTCCCCTCTCTCTAAAAATAAATAAAACCTTTAAAAAGAAGATAAGACTAGGGTATTACGGGAAGACAGAGGATGCACAGTGGCAAGACACTAAAGATTCCCCAGAGAGAAAGAATTGTAAACTGACACCTGAAGGAGCAGTTGTTGGCCAGGTGTGGAGGCAGGAAAGGGCTGTGACCCACACACAGTGACGAGCCTAGGTAAGGCCTACAGACAAGAAGGAAAGCGGCTGGAGATAATGGAAAGGAGTTTGTGCTTAGGGCAGAACACGGAGTGTGGTAGTGGGGGGGGTGGGGAGTGGGTGAGGGGCAGGCAGAGGACTCCTGGACGGCCTGTGAGCTGGGTGACAGGGTCTAAGCTTGACCTTGACAACAATAGGGCCACTGGTGCACTTCAGCTGAGGAGTGGAAGTGGACTGAAGCAGGGAGCAAGACTGGGGGCTGCTTCAGTAATGCAAGTGAAACATGGGCGGCTGGAACTGAGTTGGAGATGAAATCAGAGAGAAGATTTTTGGGAGTAGAAGTGGTAAAGCATGCTGAGTGATCAGAAGTAGGAGATCAGAAAAAGGGAGGGATGAAGAATGACCCCAGGTGTCTAGCTCAGCAGCTGCATGGATGGAGGCACCGTTGACTAAGAAAGGGGAAACTGGGAGAGAAGACATTTGGGTGGAAAGGTGATGGGTTGGTTTATAACGATTTACTGTACTCTCCGGGCAGTTTGAAGTCTTACAAACATTGTATGTGAGGTACCTGGCAGAGGACCTGGCATGTTGTGGGTGCTTGATAAATGGTGACTCTTATTCCATTTTAAACAATCTGTTTCAGGCCCTGCTCAGTTAACTCATGATGTTCTTTTGCTGTTTAGTGTGAGCTCTTCAGAGCCAATAGAACTGCAGTTTTGTTCATTGTGCCGCCCGTTTTCATGTGTGTTTCTTTCTCTCCTTCTCTTCTGCATGCTGCCTGGGGACTGGCTTCCTTGTGGTCAGCACCAATGGGCAGCGCCCAGGTGACCCCGGGGACTCCACTCTGCCTCCTCACCACAGGTGATCACCAGAGCCCTGGGCGGGTGGGAGGGGAGTGAGAGTGACCCACGCTCAGCAGGTCCTCCAGGCCAGGTGCACCATAGAGGAACTGGCAGTCCCTGCATCCCACCCACCCATCCCTCCACCCATCCACCCATCCACCCATCCACCCATTCTTCCTCCCACCCATCCCATCCATTCACCCACTCATGCATGCATGCGTGCATCCATCCATCCCTGCATTCTGCTAATGCTTACAAAGTACCTACTATGTGCCAGGCTCTGTTCTAGGCACCAAGGAATACAATGATGACCAAAAGAAGACATGTTTCTGTACCTTTCTGGGAAGGGCAAGAGCCATTAGTGAAAAAACTACACAAGTAAGGAAGGGTACAACTCCAGCTGTGAGTGGTGCTGCAAAAGAGAGGTGCATGGTGTTCAAAACAGACAAACAAACAAACAAACTGGGGAACTAACCAAGTGCTTCCCAGGCAAGTTCCAGCTGTGCTGTGGTCCAAGGTTAGGAGAACTGACTTAGCATGCCTGTGCTTTGGAAATGATTAGATCTGTCTCTGATCCCAGGTCTACCATTTGTCCTAGACAAGTCCTTTAAATGTGACGATCCCCACTTCTCTTATCCATTAGCAGGAATAATAACACCTGCCTCTTACCAGGGGCGTATGTACTCTGCACGTGCAGAGTCTTCGGGAGTTGTGTTCTGGGACAAAACAAGATAATGGGTGTGCAAAACGGCGGGATGGGAGCGCCCAGTCTGGCTTAGGTATTCGTTTGAAGGAACTACCCGCCCCTTCCCTTGAACACGTGGTCTGACCTCATTTCCCATAAACATCTGCCACTCTTCAAGGTCGGGGTGCAGCGCCCATCTGTGTCACAGGCTGATGCCCAGTGTTGCCCCTGAGACAAACAGTCCCTGCTGACCTGGAATCTCTACTGCAGGGGCCCTTTCTGGCCCATGGGAAGTCTCTCAGAGATTTCAAACATCTGACTGTTGCCTCTCTCAAAGTTGTTGCTAGACAATGGCATCCTCTCTACCGGTCCCTATCTGGTCAAGTTTATCGTGGTGGGAAAGAGGGTGCAGCAGGCAAGGGTGACATGAGTCCAGCCATCTAGTACCTTCACCGTACACTTCTGTCCACCCCTTTCCCAGACTCAGAAACATCGCTGTTAGTAAATGTCTTATGTGGGGTTCCCTAGACCCAGGGTCTGGGATGGGGGTTCTTATGCAAATCATTGATTGAGGAGTATCTCAGAAGAAAAAAAGGGAGGGAGTCAGGATGGGCGCGAGAGAAGCTGAGGGGTGAGGAGCCCGGAGTCAGCTGAGCCCACAGGGGGCTCTAGAGGGTGAATTGTATCACAGAGTTGCTCCCACCTTGAGGCAAGGGGCCCCGGAATGAGTCCTAACAAATACACACACCAACGTCCGTCAGCCAGTGGCTGAGGCCCGGGGAGGTGACACCCCTTGGTCTGATGGCACTTCTGCAGGGAGAGGTCTGTGAGCTGTTCGCACGCAGCCAGCACAGCAGCTGGAGATTAGATGCAGCTGCCCAGGTAAGAGAGAGCTGGGCAAAGCCCCAACAGTATTCGCTAAGGCCAAGTTGTCCCCCTGCCATTGACCCTCCAGCCCCATGTGTCACTACCAACACCCCTGGAATGTCATCTTAGCCACTCCCTAGTTATATGACCTTAAGCGAGTTGTATAGCCTTATTTCACCTGCTGCAGAGTCATATTAAGGGGTATGTTAGGTACTCAGAGCTGAGGGTGCCTTGTATATCACCAGCTTACTCTCATATGGCCAAGGAGGGCGAAAAGATTGCATTAGGCGACCCTTGGGAGTGCCCTGATCAGGAGCAGCACAGAGTAGGCCCTCACCAAATGCCAGTCCCCTACTGCATGCCATCACAGGCCCACTGGGCGTCGCCCTCACCCCCAGGGAGGTGAGAGTTTCAGGCGGGTGCACGGGGACAGTGACAGGAAAGTGACTCACACACCCTTCATGGGGAAAATGGCTTCCCCAGAGTGTGAGCTGCTGCGTCGTGCTGGGTCATTGTTCTCTGGACTCTATTGAAGTCGAGCAGTCTGATAATGTTTTCTTTAAACAGAGCCAGTCCCATATCGGGCACATTTGTTCTTACCTCTTGCCTTCCCGGGCGTCTGAATGTTTCTCGTCTGACAGGTTTATTTCACTGGGCTCCATTTATTTCCCCGCATTCCCCGGCGTCGCTTGATGGGTGAGGTGCCTGCGAGTGTTTCTCTTGGCGCTGGCTGTCCCTTCCAAAGCGTGTTTTGTTAACGCTCATCCCCTGGTAGCAATAATGGCTGATTTAAATTATAACTGCGCGGACCTGAGTGATGGCGATACCAGACTGTAAACACAGTCAGCACCGACGCGGAGAGCCGCGCGGGACTGGCTGGCGTTCGGCATGAGCTGAGACTGGGTTCAGCTCCCAGCTCTGCTGCTTTCTGCCTGGTGACCCGCGGCCAGTTACTCCTCCTCCCTGGGCTTCACCCGCCTCCATCTGGAGAAGTGGGGACGAAATACCCATGGTCAGAGTGAATCTCGAGAACTAAGTGTGATAACAGCTTTGACTTCTTCGCTCAGCTCACTCCAATGAGCTCTTCGGGCCTCCCTGACCTGTGGGGTTTCTCAGTTGAGGCGCTGGTGACATTTGGGGACAGATAATTCTTCGTTTGGGTGGGGCTGTCCTGTACATTGTGGGAAGTTTAGCAGCATCTGGCCTCTATTAGATTGCCCCCTAATTGTCTCAATCATAGATCTCCAGACCTGTCCAAATGTTCCCTAAGGGGCAAGAGCACCCCCTGTGGGAAGCCTCCGGAGCTGCACTGTTCAATAGAAATAGGATCTCGGCCTCGAATGTAGTTTTACGTTTTTTAGAGTCACATTAGAAAAGTCTAAAGTAACCGGTGAAATTAATTTAAAGGTAGTTTATTTAATCCAATGTAGACAACATAGTATCATTTTCACATATATTCAATATTTTCAAATTGCTCATGAAAGGTATTTTGCATTCTGTTTTTGCACTAAGCCTTTGAAATCTGGTGTGGATTTTACACGTACAGTATTTCTCAATTCAGACGCTAAATTTTAAACAGTTCAAATGAGACATAATCCTAAAAAGATCAACACTGCGTTTACAACTAAGCATACTTTGCACTGCTTCCTTTTAAAGTTAAACTAGTTGCAATGAAACAAATGTTCACATTTGGTTCCTCCGTCACACTGGCCCCTTCTCAAGTGCTCAGAAACCACGTGCGGCATTACGGGCAGTTCAGATCTAAAGGTAAAAAAGTCTTGACCATCTTTGTGCTTCGTTGCTGAACAGAAGTGAGCATGCGCGGAGTAGAGTCTCGGTGAACGTTCGGTTCTCTTTATTCCATTCCACCTGCCAGGCTTCCCAGAGACTGGATCCCTGGAACCCCTGAGTGGGGACCAGCAGATCTGCTGGTCCAGGCCCCCTGAACCCCATGCCCAGCCTGGGCATCACAGGGGAGCCCTCTCCCAGGACTCTGAGTGAGCAACAACAGGTGCCCCAGACCCTCTAGGTCTTGGCTTCTACTTCTTTCTTCTCTTGCTCAGAGAAGAGCTGCTTTTCCTCCCACCCTCTGGGGAAAGGGATGGATTGGTTGTTTGTACAGAACACAGTGATTTAATATTTCTGCTCCCAAAACTAAGGGGCAAAGGCTGGAAGAAAGAAAGCATGGTTGTAGTGGATTTGGCTGGAGTCTCAACAGGCGATGTTGTCCCCGCTGCTGGTTTTATTAGCCTCACTCAGTTTCATTGCACTCATCTGAATTCTGTGCTGCGTGTTAACGGGCTGCTCTCTCTGATCCCGCTGGAGTTCCCCTAATCCTTCCTGTGGATTTCTCCCTGCCTCCCACGCACCTCTCTCGTTTTCAGGCACTTCGATGCTTGCTGCAAGCTGCATGTTCCAGAGGCAAGGTTTGGACGAAACTGCCCCAGCTGGGCAGATCTTTGCCTCTGCCTCCCCTTCCTGCCCCATTGGGTCAGGCAGTGCTGCTACATCTCAGGGCATCAATTTGGCTGCAGTCAGCTGGAAAGAATTGAATTACCGTATGTTTTTGAGTCAGAGCCTTAGGGACGCCTCGGCCCCTGGTACACCCTGCTGCCCTTGCAGACAAATAAAACCAGGACACGTGTCGTCCTTCTAGAAGCCTCCTGTTCTGCTGAGTCTGTTACCAAGCAGGAATCTACATTCCGCTTCCCACTGCTCTCCGTTTGGCCCTGACTCCTACTTGCGTTTGACTTGACTTGATGAAATGGGAAGACCCCCGTCCCGTTTGCAGCCCATTCCCAGGCTGCCTGGATCGTGACTCCGCTGAACCTGCTGCTGTGGGTGGAGTGGCGTCTCCCAGACAAGATCCAGACAAGATATGTTGCAGGCTTAACCCCTAGTTCCCGTGAACGTGACCTTATTAAAAAGAGGGTCTGTGCAGCTGTAAGTAGTAAGACAAAGCCATGGGACTGAACTCTAATCTCATGTGGCTGGTATCCTTACACGAAGGGGAAAACATCACACGAAGATACATGTGACCACAGAGGCAGAGATTGTAACAATCCAATACCAAGGACTGCCCAGCAAGCACCGCAGCTGGGTAGAGGCAAGGGAGGCTTCCACCCAGTCTCAGAGGGTGCCTGCTGACACCTTGATTTCAGACCTTGAGTCTCCAAAATCAGTTGGTCAAAGCCACCCGGTTTGTGATCGTTTGTTGCAAGAGCCTAAGAAACCAATACAGTTGGACATGAGCAATCCTGAGTACTGGGCAACGGACGGGGTCCACTCTGGAGAGCTGTGCCTTGACAGAGCTCCAGGAGGCCAAAGCCAGGAGCTGCCATCCCAGCGGATCTCTTTGGCCCACCCTGTTTCCCTGTGGGGTCTCCGTGGCTGTATTCTCTGTTTGGCTAAGGACTGGTCTCCACTCTGTGACTCTGATGCCCCCTTCTGGTTCTGCCTCCTGCCTT